CGCCCATCCTCCTCCGAGGTCGCGCCTGTCGAATCGACTCGTTCGGCAGCCCGCTTGCTCTAGCTGAGCCGACAGAGGCTCTTGCAGGCGCCTTGTTCTTGAACGTGGCCGCCCACCTCCCCTCCAGAGGTAAAGGTTCCGTCCGGCGTAGCAGGTCCCGTATCTTCACCTCCTCTGCCTCCGTCGCTCTCTTGGACTTCCTCACCAAGGACAGCTCGCGCCCAAACCAATAAAGAATTAGAACGTAGATCAGCCTCATGCTTGACCAGCAGAAATTAAGGAGTGGTCCCGCGCCAACTGGCGCAACTCGGGGGTGACCCTGGGCCCCAGGAAGCCCCCTCGTTGTGTATCTGGTCTGCGTCAGGGCTCATCGGCGATATTGGGCTCGTCGGGGATCCACCTGAAACCAAGGAACATGTTTCGTGGCAGCGACATCGCTGCCACCCGTCGCACCCGGACCAGCAGCGGGAAGGCCCGAGCCCTGGGTCCCCCAAAACTGAGCGCGACCCCGAAGTTGTCCCCTAGCACCAGATGTCGCCGACCAGAAACCCCATGAGAAAACGCCACATTGCCCGCGCCCAAGCCTCCAGTCCTGCGTGCACCGTCATCGTCCTCCTCCAGGCGTGGCGCAGTATCTGAAGACCCCCCATAACTGCCGATCGATCCCGACCCTGTGTGAACAGTTGTCTACATCGAGCGAGGCCTCGCACAGGCCCACCCCTCCCCCACCTCCAACCTTGCGAAACTCACCGGCATCGCGAGAAAGAGTGCCCGGGGGGTCCGAAGAGCTGGTTGGCGCGCCTCGCATCGATGATGGGGCGCTGTCTTCCATTCTCTTTTCTCACGGGGAAAGGCGCAACTAACTCCTTTGGCGAGGTGGCCCAGCGAACTAAACCTCTCGAGCGCAACATCTTCAAACACCGCGCGTAATCATACCGATGCGCGCGCAGCCTCTGGTCAAACTATGGGGCGATGCCCTCGCCGCACTCTCGCATTTGCATCACATCCTTCGCGTCTCTCAGAATGCTCTCTCTACAGTTCACCACCAACTCCCTGTCCTCCTCGGCGGCCAGATCCTGGATCCGATTCCTGACCTGGGCCCCCTCGGGCAGCGAGACGAGGCGTCGATCGAACGCGACGACTGTGGACGCACTGCGGTCGCAACCACACTTGCTGAGAAGGAGCTCGCGGACGGCCCCCCCTCTGCCCCAAAAAAGCAGGAACGGGCAGCTGTTCAGCAACCCGATCCGAAACAAAACTACGCACCTCATCAACCACGACAGGGTCGACAAGGGGGCCCTGAGCTCGGTCGCGCAACCAGTCGAGGCCCTGCGAGACCCCCCCCGAATCTCGCGCGACCTATGACACGGGAGACCGGCTCTCCCCCGACACCTCCTAGACAAACGAGCAGGTGCAGGATAATAGTCTGACAAAATTCAAGCGGAAAGAGCGGGACATATTCTGGCCGCGAATCGCCTCCAGTCTCACCCCGTCTTGCATCGCTCTCGCCTGGGCACGCGTCGGCGCCGCGGCGACTGGCGTCGACGCTATCTGTCGGGACCCAAGGCAAGGACATCCACCGTCGCGGTCCTTGTCCTTGTCCTCGTCCTTGTCCTTGTTTTTCTTTCTCTTCAAAGCTACTCGAACCTCATCCTTCAGCGTCTTGGCCTTGCTCGTCTGCCCACCGATCTCCGCCTCCTCCCAAACTTCCTTGGCGACAAACGAACGAAACGAGGGCGCCACCATTTGATGCCGACGGTTGTAACCTGAGAACATTTCCGCAATCTCATAGTTGGGCGCCGACGGGTTATTCGCATGAGCTGCCATACTCGCCTGCCAACGTCTGCCCAATCTTTCACAAGAGGCAAGGGATGCAACATTGACTCGATCATACTGAATGGCCAGCTCAAACACCACCGCCATCACACGCATCTCATATATGATCTGTCGTTCTCACCCCACCCCGCCGTCTCCAAATGTCTCTCCAGCAAAAAAGTCGGCACCATCGACAACTGTGAAAACGAGCCCATCAGCCAGAGAACAGTACGCGGTCCAATATGAAAACAAAAAACCTCTTCGACGAGCTCCTTGACTGCGTCAACCCACGCACGCTCTCTAGCCCCCTGGGCGTTATACTTCGCAGACAAGGTGCGCACGTCCTCCTCGCCCTTGGGATTCGGAGCGCCCTGGCATGCCGGCACCGTGGGCCCGCTCAGGGCCCCACGCAGCGCCGCGAGGCTAGTGGGAGCCGCCTGTCGGCGTAGGCGGACCGCCCAGCCCCAGGTGCAGCAGGCCCTTACGATCCTCCGCGTAGGCGTGGGTCCAACGCCAGGATCACCTCGCCGAACTTCGCGAAGCGTGGGTTGCCCAGCCTGGCCGCACCCGCAGCGCCCGGCACCTCCGAGCCCAGCCGCGCCACCTCGTGGTCCCCCTCGACCGCGGGCTCTGAGACCACCCACACAGAACCAGGAGCAGCCGCCACCCCCAGCCCGCTCGCAGCCGCAGGAGGCCCTGCGCCGCCTCCCTCCAGCGGCGCCGCGCCTCCCACCACCGGCACGCGCAGCGGCACCCGCACACTGCGTATGCCGAAGTCCTCGTCGTAGACCCTGCGGTGGTGAGCCTCCTCAAGGCCCTCCTCGTCTAAGTAAGCCTTGGCCTTTGCGCGCAACTCGTTGAACCTCTCGAAAGGCCCCGTCTCGCTGAACCTGTACAGCGGCCTCGGCGCCGCACGACCAACTGTTCGGCCTCGAAGCAGCGTGAACCTGACCGTTCCTCGAACGCCTGGCGTGTTGTGCTCCTCTGCATACGCATCAAAATCAGTCGTGGCCCCAACCCAAACCTTCTTGTCCCCGCCTGCCCTCACCTCCCGTAGCACCAGCCTTTCAGGGCCTTAGTTACCCCTGGCATACCACACCAAAACATAAACCCCTGGAATATCCTCACTCAATTCCGCCATCACTTGGCAATCCGTCCTCGGCCTCTGACAGTGGGACTTCCAATGCGTCTCGGACAGAAACACCGTGTGATCAGCATCCCACAGAAGAATACCTGGTAAGCCTCCGCTGAGACTCACCAGCCAGAAATACTTCTCCGTCTCCTCGAGCACGACAGCGAAAGACTTGTTGAACAAATCTGGAGGCACCGCGCAAACTGGCGGCGGTGGAGGACGACTATGTGGACACACGCATGCTGGACAGCTCGGGCACTCTGGCAGCGGCGGACACTCGCAGAAGCAATATGGACAGTCGGGTCGGGCGCGAGAAAAAAAGAAATGCCAGATCGCGAACACTCCCCCCGGCGAGGAAACTGACACCCACCTCGGGTCTCATGCGTCCTCGAGCCGAAAACTCGCAGCGGGCGTGGCAAGAGAGCACTCACCTTCGTTCCTGCTACACTGCCCCGCCCGCACGAAATCACAAACACGCTCATATCACCACGTACAGCTCACAGGACGCAAGGGAGGACGACTAGCAGAAGAGAAAGTGGCGAACAAAGAGGAGAACAATGATGAGGACAGTCAGAATGACGACGAGGAGGACGACAACGAGAAGAGGAACGAGGAGCATGATGAGAAGGACGTGGACAAAGTGAGAGCCTTTGGTGCCCGTCGGGGCTACGACGGGGACTACGAGGAGCGTGTGAGGCCATCGTCGAGCCTCCGTGGGGCCTTCTAGAGGCCTCAGGGGTGTTTCTTGGGAGCACATCGGGGTCCTCGAGGGGACGCCTGCGCATTTCTGGACTGCCTGGGCGTGCCTTGGCGTGCTTCGGGGCCTCTCCCTCGGGCGGTCTGGGCCCTGGGCCACCTGGGGTCTCTCAAGGGCCGCCTTCTGAGCAGGGACCGACCGTCCCGGCACTCCTATGGGCCCATCACGACCTGTTCTTAGCACCCGGACATGTTCTGAGCAGTAAAGTAGGAAGAGCACTGCTCTTAGAACAACAGCCCGATGCGTTAAACAAGGCAATGACAGCCAGAAATGTAGTACGAACATCTCGTGCAGACCAGACAAGGCTATTAGAGCAGTCTTTGGTGGGCCTACAGGCGAGCCATGACGCTTCGCCACTGCTTCAGTCTTGGGGCCTCCAGAACAAGCGCCTCCAGAATCGAATCGATAAGTCGGGTCGGCGATCGAAATGAATCCGATCGGCGGAAATCGTCAGCCGAGTCGGGAAGCGTCGAACCGGCGGGACTCGGCAAGTTTGTAGGCCTCCATTGCGGAATCGGCAAACAAATCGGCGGTCGAATCGAATCGGAATCGGAGGCCACCGAAATCGAAGCGAATCGAAAGAAGCCCTGCCAGGGTCTCTCTCAGCAGTCCCTCGGGATGCTGCCTTTGCTCTGTTCTTCCAGCGTCTCCGAGGCCGCCCGCGCGCTCCCACCCCGCCGTCTTTCGGCGGCCCAGGCCTCCCTCCCCCCGCTGCCAGCGCGGCCGCCCTCTTCTAGTCCAGGGCACCCCGGAGGGAAGCGGGGGGTGCTTCTCGGCACGGGCTCCCGCTGCAAGGCTCGGGTGCCGCCGCCGATCTGGACGGATCGGTGGCGCGCTGGGCCCCGGTCAGCGCTCGACCAGGCCGTCTCCCAGGCGCGAGGGAGCTCCCGGGCCCGGGGCCAGCAGAGGGAATGGGCGGGGGGTCGGCTCCGCGCTGAGCTCCACGCCGGGGACGGATCCCACTCGGGTGTGGCTGACCCCCGGGGGCGCTGACCCCCGGCGGCGTACGCCCCCGAAGGCCTCGGGGCCCGCGCCCGCTCTGGTGTGCCCAGTCTTAGGTCGGGCTTGTCCTCCTGCAGGCAGACTTTGGAAGAGAAAGGTAGAACATGGTCAAAACATAATCGAGGGTAGTCTGAAACACACGGAAACACGTCCCCAAACTACCTCTTCACGATTCCGGAAATTTCCTCCTGCAGAGGGACATGCCCGACGTAAGCCTGGTGCCCAGCGCGGCCCGCCGGGTCTGCAGACGCGTCTGCAACCGCCAGCGCTGCCGACGGGCAGGTTCCCTTTTTTGCTCCCCGCGCGTCGGCCACAGCCGCCACGCTCACGCGTGGACCCGCGGTATGCTTCGGGGGCCAGGTGCCAGCCCTCCCGCCTAACCCCCCACGACCCCTGAGGGTGGGGAGGGCGGGCACCACTTCGCTCGGGAGCTCTCCCGAGCGGAGTGAGCCCCACCCTCCCCCCCTCAGAGGTCGTGGGGGGGGGTAGGCGGCAGGGTTCGCACGTGGCCCCCTGCTGCTCCCGGCCGCGGGGCGCTCCCACTGCGTGGCGCCCGTGGCGCGGTTCCAGAAGTAGGTGCCGTGCGGCTCCGCCTGCACCTCTGGGGGGGCAGCGGAGAGGGGGCGACTGGCTCTTGCCGGGGGGGGAACAGCGACACCGAGTCGGCGATGCCGCCAAGGTCTTCCCTGCAGCAGGATGCCGCCCCAGAGTGCCCTGGATGCGACGGATTGGATTCGGCGATCCCTGTTTGGGCGGAGGCGCCTCTGGTGAAGCACGAAGTGCCCTCGGCGGGCTCTAGCACGTTGGCACGAGGCTGGCGCAATAATCGCTCGCCAGCGAAAACATACGCTTCGCATTGCTGAATGGGGCGGTGGCGTCTTCAACAACTGCCACACGGAGCAAACTAAGAGAAACGCACGAAAGTAGGAGTCCATCGACGATGGCCCCCCGATAGCAGATCGGCAGGTTTCTGGGCGGGGCGGGCAATCGGCCCCTATCGGCGACAAATGGTCGATTGGGGGCCGAGTTCTCCCCCCATTGGCATATCAGGGGGAGGGGGAAAAGGGAAAAGATGTACATAGCGCTACTCCCCAGACCTCCCAGGGGTGCGCGGACCAAGACTCCGAGGCGAATCCAGCGCGTGGCGACAAGGGCCTCGCAGGAAGTCCAAGACGCGGGAAAGAAGACCAGGGCAGCAGTATCGGGATCGTCTCCTCCTCCAACTATCAACCCCAACGGTGCCCCTGAGCACCTCGACCCCATCGGCAGGGCTGGGAGGTCCCCGAGACACATCGGCGATATATCGGCAACGTCGGCGTAGAGAGAATCAGGCTCCACATCGAGCCGCATCGCCGATCATCGGCGGTGCAGCGTGATCCTGCGTTCCAATCTTCTTCGAGCCCATCTCGGAGGCCTCAAACGTATGCCCTCCGAACCTATCCCCCCCCTGACGCGGAAGGTGACAACATGTACCGGTACCGCTGCTCCTCGGACCTCTTCTGGGGTGCATTCAGACTAGAATTTCTACGAGGATCCAGCCGTGGCGACGAGGGCTCTCCAGGACCAGTAGCGGTATCGGTACCTGTTCCTCCTCTGCCGAGCACCTCGGCCCAGTCGGCAGGGCCTATCCCCTGATGGTCCTCGGGCCATAAATCAAGTCCAGCGGCCGTTCGGGACGCGACTCGGGAACCCACGGAACGTTCTCTGGGAGGCGCAGCCGCTGAGGGCATCCTGAGACTGGCAAGCCGCCGAGGACCGACGGAACGTTGCCCCGGAGGCTATCCTCTCCCCAGCGTTGCCCCGTGAGCACCTCGACCCAGTCGGCAGCGCCGCCGGCGCCCCCCCCCAGCGCGTCCTCTCTTGGCGGCGCGCACAAGGGGCTATGGAGGAGGAGGGGGAGGAAGAGTGAGGAGGAGGAGGAGGAGGAGGAGGAGGAGGAGAAGATGCGGAGTAGGAGGAGGAGAAGGCACTTCTTAGACGCAGGCTGCCTCTTAGAAAGCGTCGGCCTTACCTCTACAGATAAGGCCCGCGCCTTCTGAGGAGGAGGAGGGGTGCTTAAAAAAACTTCTCCCCTCCTACCCCCCTTTGCGCGTCGCTGACTTTCAGCAGGGGCCGACCGTCCCGGCACTCCTTGAGGACTACCGAGGCATTGTCTCAGAAGAGAAGAAGGTGGCACGAGCAACAACAGTGCTTTCAGAGCAGAATAATGATGGATCAAATCAAGACTGCCTCCGCAATAGATGGTCTAAGAAATCTCGCGCAAGCCACGAACAAATATAGGAACATATTTTGGTGGGCTTGCGGTCAACAATTTTTGGACAGCGTTTCGCGGCGGAGGCCACGGCGATACGCTATGCCTTGCGAGCGGTTAGCCAATTGCTCCGCTCCGCGGAGCGGGAGTCTCGGAAAGGCCCGGGACGTTGAAACCTGGGGACTGGGACGTGGATGGCGTGTCGCGCCGGAGCGTTGTGGGCCCGAACCTGCGGAGCGACACGCTTCGCCACCATTCCTGCTCGCGTACGGCAGGCTCGTGTAAAATAACGACTCTCACGGTGGCTTCAAACACGGGGAGGGGGGTCATTCAGCCTGGAACGCGCGGCCGCTTTTTCGATCGCCAGATCGTTCCACGTGGGCCGATTCTGAGCCATTGGCAACGTCCAACCTTGAACGCCCGCGTCGGGGTGGTAGCCGCATCGACACGACACGAACCTACCATAGCCGGGGAAACTAAGAGGTACCCATACCGCCACTCCCCAGATATCTCCTGGGTGCGTTCCGACGAGCCGTGGCGACGGGATTCTCGCAAGAGGCCTCCAGAAAGGCGAAAACGAAAGAAAGCCAGCAATATCGGTACCTACTTCCCTACTGGGTGGGCCAGCCAATACGCTCCGCCAGTACTCGATTCCTCCACCGCGGACTGGCTGGAATTCTCGAAACACTCCCCGGGACCAGCTTTTCATCCTGAATCACATTTTCCCAATATCCTAAAATGGGGTTACCCTTACCATTCAGAAGCCCCCAGACCTCCCCCTCGCGCCTCACACCCTCCTCCAATACCTGATACGCACTCAAGCAAACTCAGACGAATCCCACCAGCCCTCTGGGCGTAGGTGGTTTAGAGAGTTTCTTCTTCAACTCCTCCTTATTCCTCTTCGGGGAGAGGTTTACCCCGCCCCCTAACCCCCTCCCCTGGACCTGGACGGGGCGTTTCGCGAGCGGTCAGAGGGTACTTTTTCGCCCAAGATGGCCCCAAAAGCGCTTCGGAAAGCCTAAGATGACCTCCAAGATTGACCAAGATAGCCTGAGATACCTCAAGATGGCTCCGAAGATGCTCCAAGAGGCTCCAAGACCGTGCCAAGACGGCTCCAAGAGGTCAAATAGCTTTCCAAGGAGGCCTCCAAGAGGCACAGATCCTTTGAAACTCTAAGGAAAAACAATGATTTGTGCTGTCTCGCCGATTCGCTTCCGATGGCCATCCGAGGCCTCAAGATGGCTCCAAAATGGCTCAGGAACCCCCCAAGAGGGGCCCAAGAGAGCCCCAAGACGGCCCCAAGAGCGCCCAAGAGCGCTCCAAGAGTGGTCCAAGAGGCGATGTTAGAGGCTCCCGAGGGGCGGTGCTAATTAACCCCCCCTCCCGTTTTTGATCGATCTCCTCCAAGGTTTCCCCAAGAGTGCCCCCAAGGCTCTCAAGAAGGCCCCAAGAAGGCCCCAAAAGGCGCCCAAGAGGCCCCAAGAGGCCCCCAAGAGGCCCCCAAGAGGCCCCCAAGATACCCCCAAGATGCCCCAAGAGGCTCCCCGAAGCATCCAAGACGCTCCAAGACGCCTCTGGGACCTCCAAGACGCTCCCAAGACGCCCTAACAGGCCTTCAGGACACTCCCAAGAGACATCCGAAGATACTCCGAGAGGCATCCAGTAGGCATCTGGCCATTCTGCTCGCCCTTCTCCTCCTCCTCCTCCTCCTCCTCCTCCTCGTCGTCCTCCTCCTCATTATCCTCCTGCACCTCCTGCTCCTCCTCCTCCCCCTCCTCCTCATCCGCCTGTTCCTCCTCCTCCTCCCTCCTCCCTCCTCCCGCTCCCCCTCCTCCTCCTTCAGTTTCTCCTCCTCCTCATCCTCCTCCGATTCCTCCTCCATCCTCGCCGTCTTGGATAAGACAGGTTCCCCAGCCCTTGGTTACTCTGTGTGCTCCCTCACTTCCATGATCACCTCCATTCGCCTGGGCATTCGCTGGTGGAGAACCACCAACAGCAGCAACAGCAGCAGAAACAGTACCCGCAGGAGCAAGAGCACTAGCAACAACACATGCAACCTTCACCACAAAAGATCTCCCAATTCACCGTTGTCGCCCGCTCGGTGTCACTATGTGTTTCTCTCCTTCCCTTCGTCCGTCAGCTCCCCTTGACATCGTTTGTGGATGGGCTGGTGGGGATACTTTTTGTTGGGTCGGCGGCTCCGAGGCAACGGACAGGGAGCGGAAGCGCTGGTGGGGATACGCGTAGCGTCTAGAATTCGAACTCGGATTCGCTCGCACCCAGACTCGCTCGTACTCAGACTCAATCAGACTCAGACTCAATCATACCCAAACTCGATCGCACTGAGACTTAGATTCACGCACATGCACTCGCAATCACACTCAGTCATGCTCAGAATCGCCCATGCGCAGACTCACTTTGGTCACGGCCACTGCGACAGAGCAGGCGTGGCACCCGGGCACCCCAAGGGGAGTCGCCAGGGGTGGACACAATCCAGGATTCGCTACCAGACTTCAAAATGTATCGAGCGGGTTGTCTGTCTGGGCGCGCATCATCTTCCGCTTTCGGAGCTGAGTGTAAGGACGTTTCGGGCCAGGCGCTGGTTTCAGCACCCCCAAGGGAGGCGCCAGTGGTGGGGACACTCCCGGACTCGCGCCCAGATCGTGGAAATGATTCAGGCGGTTTCCCTGGCTTTGCCCTCCGAATTGTTCTTTGGACTTGTGTGTCCCTCGCCCACTCACTGACTCACCTCCTCCTCCTCCTCCTCCTCCTCCTCCTTCTCTTCCTCAGCCCAGCGCACGCGTTCACATTCCTAACTTCTCACGAGCACCTCTTCCCAACCCTTTCAACACCGTCAGACACACCCGTGCTCAGCCTCACTCGTACCCAGACTCGTTCATAGCTAAACTCGCTCATATTCAGAATCGTTCGAACACACACTAACTCGCACCCAGACTAACTCACACTCAGACTCAACTAAACTCAGACACACCCACCCTTGGATTCACCTGCGCTCAGGCTCAAACTCATCATACCCATACTCAGATTCCCTAAAGGCAATGCTCATTCACATCCTGGCCCACTCGCGTTCACACTCCCGAATTCAGACTCGCACGTAACCAGACCCACTCGTACTCCTACTCGTTCTACTCATACGCACCCGCGCTGAGGTTCAATCATACACGGGTTCACTCACACCCGGACTCACTCACAATTAGATCACTGACGCTCAGCTTCGCTCGATCGAAGGTTCACACACAGGCAACTACCGCGATCTAGCATGCGTAGCACTTGGGCACCCGAAGTGCCAGCAAACGCCGCGAGTAGCACGCCAGAGAGCGTACGTCGCAACGCCAGGCGGGTTTATCCGAGCTGCCGCAGTGAGAGTGGCAGCAGGAATCCCCACTCGTTCTTCCGCTTGTGTTTCCTCATATTTCCTGAGAGATGTCCAAAGCGGGAGGCCGTCACTGAAATTTTCGGGGTAGTCGTCGCTGTCGCGCCCGACGTCTACGCGGAGTCGATCTCGCATCCAAATAATGAAAGAGGAAAGATAGTTCCACAGAGAGACGTGGCAGGAGTCTGAGATGCACGTCTAGGGATCTCCGCGCCAATTCACGGTCCTGTAGCCCAGCGAGGGCCCCCAGAGGCCGAAAATTGTCAAAAACAAATTGAAAACGAGGGGAGGGTATAGGTGTAGGTACCTTTTCCTCCTCGGGATCCCAGGGTAGGGCAATAGGGCCACTTCTGGCGTCACCCGAGCAGGAGCGAGCAGGCGAGAGTAGCGGTATGGGCACCTTTTCCTCGCATGCCTGGTCCGCAAGGTTTAGCGGTTGGGGCCTCTCGCAGAGAGAGGACCTGTCCCTGGCCCCACATTCGATCTGGGCTGCGGGGGGGCCCGGGATCCTTGACGCCCTCGGATGTACATGGCCCGAGGGGGTCTGGGCAGGACGTTCCACCGCTGCTCGCGCCCGCCCGAAAAATTTGCAGACTGTACCCAAAAGCCCCGGGAGGCGAGCGAGGGTCCTGGTCGTGGGTCTGGTATACAAGCCTCCCTCCCTGGGGCGTGGCTTAAGTGAAAGTGGCCCCAGGCGGTGGAATCAGACTGGGGCGGGGAGGGTATGGTATACAAGAAAGCCTTGATGAGCCAAGGAAATGGTGGGGCACGCCAAGACGGGGGTGCGCTGCGATCGTCGAACTACTCGCGCGAGCACCAACGTGTGGAGGGGGGTTCAGGCCCACCGGCCCACCCCCAGCGCTGGATCGTTGCAACTACCGGGGCACCTTGTCCGGCAGTCTAATTGACACCAATCGTGGAGCGTCTCAATCTCCAGACCACCCACGTCATGTATGTTTCATAGCGTCCACCCCCAGAGGTCTGGACCCATTCCCCGGGAACGGTGTTTCGTCCTTAGTGTATTTTTTGACGGCTCCGAGTTCCGGTAAGGGCCTCCCGAGGCCGAAAAATATCCAGATGTTTTCATTGCCCAAGGGGGTCTGGGACGTTGGATACAAATCTTGACGAATACACTCCTGCTCCTCCTCCCTCCTCTTCCTCCTCCTCCTCCTCCGAGCCCCTCCTCCCCCTCCTCCTCCCTGCTCCTCCTCCCCCCTCCTCCCCCTCCTCCTCCCCCTCTCCTCCCCTCCTCCTCCTCCTCCTCCTCCTCCTCCTCCTCCTCCTCCTCCTCCTCCCCCTCCTCCTCTCCTCCTCCTCCTCCTTCTCCTCCTCCTCCTCCTCCTCCTCCTCCTCCTCCTCCCCTCCTCCTGCTCCCTCCTTCTCCCTCCTCCTCTCCCTCCTCTCCTCCTCCTCCTCTCCTCCTCCGTCCTCCTTCCTCCTCCTCCTCCTCCGCCTCCTCCTCCTCCTCCTCCTCCTCCCCGCCCTCCTCCTCCTCCTCCTCCTCCTCCTCCTCCTCCTCCTCCTCCTCGTCCTCCCTCCTCCTCCTCCTCCTCCTCCTCCTCTCCCCCTCCCCCTCCCCCTCTCCTCCTCTCCTTCCTCCTCCTCCTGCTGCTGCTCCTCCCTCTCCTCCTTCCTCCTCCTCCTCCCCTCCTCCTCCTCCTCCTCCTCCTCCTCCTCCTCCTCCTCCTCCTCCTCCTCTCCTCTCCTCCCTCCCTCCTCCTCCTCCTCCTCCTCCTCCTCCCCTCCTCCCCTCCTCCTCCTCCTCCTCCTCCTACCTCCTCCTCCTCTCCTCCTCCTCCTCCTCCTCCTCCTCCTCCTCCTCCTCCTCCTCCTCCTCCTCCTCTCTCCTCCTCCTCCTCCTCCTCCTCCTCCTCCTCCTCCTCCTCCTCCTCTCCTCCCTCCTCCTCCTCCTACTCCTCCTCCTCCTCCTCCTCCTCCTCCTCCCTCCTCCTCCTCCTCCTCCTCCTCCTCCTCCTCCTCCTCCTCCTCCTCCTCCTCCTCCTCCTCCTCCGCCCCGGAGGGGCACCCCCATAAGTGGGGTGTCGGGCCAAAGCGCCCCCTGGCGGAGGCGGGGACCGCCGGGCCTTCGGGGGAAAAGTCCCCGCGCCCGGGATGGCCCCCAAAGCGGGGTCCCCTTCCCGGGGGGCCCCCGGCCACGCAGCCTCCCACGGGAGCCTGGCTACCCAGCCAGGTGTCCCCCGTGGGAGTCGTGGCTGGGGGTCCGTCCTCCCCGTCGTGTCGTCGCCGTCGCTGTCGTCGTCTGTCGTGTCGTTGCGGGCCCCTGGGGTGGGTGGTGGGGGTTTGGTGGGGCCTGGCCTCTGTCCGTTCTGTCGGGGGCCGGTTGTTTCCGGCTGGGGTGTTGTCCGTCCGACAGAACGTGGCGGGGGAGCTGGCCCTGCCATCCCCGTGCTGCCCGCTTGCGGGGGGCCCGCCCGCGCCGTGAGTGCCCGGCGGCCCGCGGCGCGCCGCGGCCGCGGCGGCGCGCGCGGCTGAGCCTGTGGCTCAGCATGCTTTGCTTTTGGTGCTGTCACCTTCCGACCTTTCGAGGCGCTGTTCATTCATTCATCCTCCTCCTCCTCCTCCTCCTCCTCCTCCTCCTCCTCCTCCTCCTCCTCCTCCTCCTCTCACGACTTTCTCATGCCCGAGGGGATCTGGGACGCTGTATCGTCTCAACCGAAAATCTTGACGACAGTCCTCCACCGCGGCGGCCAGGCGGGCGGCCCTGGTCGAGAGCCCCGCGCCGCGGGCCCCAGCCTCGCGGAAGTCGCTGGCCACGGCCTCCAGCGCGCCGCGGTCGGCCGCCCGCAGCGCCGCCAGGGCCTCCTCGCAGGGGGCCCCAAGGCCCCCTGCGCGGGCAAGGAACACATTACGACGGAAGGTGTTTCCATATTTCGGGCCTCTGTTGAGGGGTGAAAAAAAACAAAGCCCCTACCCTGGGTTACAAGAGCGTGGTCCGCAAACCTCCTGGGAGCTCCCTGAGGCCAGAGAGCCACCAGGACGCCGCGCGACACGCGCGACACACAGGGTTTACCCTGTCAGCCAACCGAAGGTTCAGCGCACAGCGCCTCGCAAACCAGGGTGGGGGCGTTTCTTACGCCCTCGACACTGGGGGCCCTCACCGGGCCTCGGGACCGTCAAAAAGCGACTCAGGGATGAAAAGCCGGATCCGGGGAATGGGTGGAGACCCTTGCGGGTCGACGTTATGCAAAAAGTCATGGCGTCGGGGGTCTGAGACCAGAGGCCATGCGGCACGGCGAGGAGGGCGAGGAGGCGGAAGCCCAGGGATCCGAGGCCCCCCCAAAAAATGGGAGCGGGCGGCTTCTGGTCGCTTGCCGTCTCTGGGGGCCCTCGCCGGGCCTCGGGAGCGTCAACAACCGGCTCAGGAACAGAAACCGGCCCTAGAGAAGTGGCAGCGAGTTCCGCCCGAAAAGTTTGGCCGCTCAGAAAAAGGGGGAAGCCCTGGGATATACCCCAAGGGAGCTATTCGGACGCACCCCTATCTAGGATGGGCGCCCCCCATCGTATATCCCAGGGCCGGGCCCAAAAATTTTGGCCCATTCGAAAACACCACGAAGCCTGAGATAGTGGTCGACACATCCCTTGTCACGAAGTGGTCCGGACCTCTGGGGCCCACGCTCCGAAAACGTTGGAGCAGCTGGACGTCTGGGAGGGCCCCAGGCACGAACCAATACACACACAGATTCCCAAGATCCCCCCAGTGCTCCGATGTTTGTTCTGAAGTTCCGTCGGCCCCTCCGCCGAGGGCAACGATGGGGGATGCATCGACCTGGAATCGGCGATACATCGCCGATAGATCGGCGGGGTCCCCGATGGTGAATCCGCACCTTCTTGTGCAAGTTGGGGCTATCGGGCCCCTGTCGGCGATCAGTGGGCGATTGGGGGTCGAGACATCCCCCTTATGCCTATCCCCCCCTATCGTTGCCCCTGATCCGCGTTTCCCACGCGTCCCCTATCTTAATGGGGATCGACGGTCATTTGTGTCTGTGCGTTCCCCCTCATGAGCGAGGAGGACCCAGACCCCCGACGTCATGATCTTTCATAACGCCGACCCTCCCATACCTCCTCGGGCAATGGAAGAATCATGACTGGAGGTTTTTCCTTACGTTCGGCCTCGGGAGGCCCTTGCCGGGCCTCGCACCGACAAACAACGACTCAGGACGAGAAGCCGGCCCCGGGGAATTGGTCGAGACCTCTCAGGGGTCGACGCCATGAAACAATCATGACGTCGGGGCTCTGGGCCGAGAGGTCTCCACCCGTTCCCCGGAACCGGCTTCTCACCCCGAGAGTCCTTCCCTGATCGTCCCGAGGGCCGGCGACGGCCTCCCAGGGGCCGAACACTCGGAAAAGCCTCCCGCCAGGATCTCGTCATGGCCCGAGGCCCTGAGGTCCGACGTCACGTGATTTTTTGTTTAAATAGGGCGCAAACAAACCTACCTCGCTTTTGACCACCCTCGCTTCCAAGAGATACCAAGCGACGCCACACTACGGCCTGCGCTGGTCAGGCCGCTTGACGAGGAGGCGCGTGGTACGACTTGGTTTTGCCTGGAAGCGAAAGCGGGGGAGGTAATTCACGCTCTGATTTAATGCGGGGTTCCCGGAGGCTCGACCCGTGCCTCAGGACCGGTTCTTCATCCCGAGTCGTGTTCTGACGGCCCCGAGGCCCAACGAGGACCCCGAGGGGCCGAAACTTGCGAAACACCGCCGCCTCGACTTTCTCAATGCGTTGGATCTCTGGGGGGGGGGTCTGAGGAGGATGCCCAGACGCCCTCCCCAGACATCCCGCTGCTCCAATTTTTGTTGGTGCGTGGACCCAGGAGGTCCAGACCACTTCGCCGACCGGTTTTTCGTCCTGAGTCGTTTTTTGACGCTCCCGAGGCCCGGCGAGGGCCCCCGGAGGACGAAAACTATCAAAAACCGCCTGCTCCAACTTCTGGAGCGTCGGATCTCAGGGTCGGGTCCCGCCAAAACTCACGGCGGAGGGCTTTGCCAAAACCCTCGGCCTCCCGGGGCGCCCCCGCCGGGCCCCCCCCCCCCACGACCGTCGGAGACCGTCGTGGCGAAGGGGCAGCGCCCGGCCCGCAGAGGGGGTCGAGGCCTCCGGGGGCCAACGCCACGAGGGATTCCTGGAGTCTGGGGGGAGCTCCTCCTCCTCCTCCTCCTCCTCCTCCTCCTCCTCCTCCTCCTCCTCCTCGTCCGTCTCCTCCTCCTCCTCCGACGCCTCGTCCATCTCCTCCTCCTCCTCCTCCTCCTCCTCCTCCTCCTCGTCCTCCTTGTCCATCTCCTCCTCCTCCTCCTCCTTCCTCCTCCTCCTCCTCCTTCTCCCCTCCCCTTCCTCCTCCTCTCCTCCTCCTCCTCCTCCTCCTCCTCCATCCCTCCTCCTCCTCCTCCTCCTCCTCCTCCTCCTCCTCCTCCTCCTCCTCCTCCATCTCCTCGTCCATCATCTCCTCCTCCTCCTCGTCCTCCTCCTCCTCCTCCTCCTCCTGAGACGGCGGAGGACTTGAGGCCATTCGAGCGGCACGGAGAAGCGGGTCTGACACACGATGGCACAGCGACCTCACGCGGCAGCTTGCAGTAGCTGACGCAGGCCGTCAGCGCGACTCGCCACATTGGGAAAAAGAGAGCGCTTAAGAGCGACGGGTCTCGCAGCTCAGGGGCCCGTCTGGGGGCCGATTCGTGACTTACGCAAGGGCATGGCGGCCAGACTGATGGATGCGGGTGCCAGAGGACCATGGAGCTGCACGGTCTGCACAGCCGTCCCAGATTTCGCCACGACCTCGCTTGCTCAAGTCATGCCGATGTGCGCATGTGAGAGACAGCCGCAGGCGACGATTGATCAGATCATCCCTCAGCTTCGCTGGCACACATCCCAGCCGCACAAACAGGGGTTATGGCGAGGAGTGGGAGGAGGGGGAGGAGGGGGAGGAGGAGGGGGAGGAGGGGGAGGAGGGGGAGGAGGAGGAGGACAAGCTAGGTGCGCTCGCGTCATATCTGACATCCTACCCCTCCCTCCCATCCCTTACCATGGCGCAGATCCCCTCTCTACTCGCTCAGTCGGATGTCGAGCAGGGCAATGATCCCGAAAGGGTACGCGATGCATTGTAGAGCACGGCATGGCATGGCGTAGAAGAGCACCGCAAAGCGTAGCATCAACCTAGCATTGCATTGTGCATGCCGTGGCATGGCACGGGAAATGACGCCAGCGCTGCAGCGGGAGCAGGAGTCGAAACGAGCGGAAGCGCGGAAATGAGGCCAGCGCTGCAGCGGGAGCACGATTCGGAACGAGCGGAAGCACGGAAATGAGGCCAGCGCCGCAGCGGGAGCACGATTCGAAACGAGCGGGGCCCGAAAATGAGGCCGGCGCCTCAGCGAGAGCAACATTTCGAAAAAAACGCAAGCGAAAACCCAACTCCGGGGAAACCTGTGTGTAAAAACACAGTACGCGGGGGGGTCGGACACTCCCAGGCCGTCATCAGGGGAAGAGGGAGAGTAGTATTCATATTGAGTAATTGTGGAGGAGGAGGAGGAGGAGGAGGAGGAGGAGGAGGAGGAGAGGAGGAGAGGAGGAGAGGAGGAGGAGGAGGAGGAGGAGGAGGAGGAGGGGAGGAGGAGGAGGAGGAGGAGTAGAAAGGAGGAAGACGAGGAGGACGGAGGACGACCAAAACGCTCCTCGCAAGAGCAAGGGCAAGCGACGCCACCGCCACCATCGGGCGCACGCCAGCAGAAACCACGGGTCGGGGAGGGCACCCCCCGAGCCATGGGGTCCATGCCGCCTGCTCTAGCGACGGAGTGCGCCGACTCGACACGCGCGTCTGCGACAACCGACACGCCGCTGCCCGCGTCTGCGCCTCCTCGACACCCGCGTGGGGAGCCAGGGGGGGGCGGGCAGGGGGAGGGGGGGGGGGGGGCGGGCCCTCCTGGCGGTGTGCCCTCCCCCCGCCGCTCGAGGCATCCCCGATACTCCCAGCTTCGGGAAGCATCGCGTCTTCGCTGGAGGTGCCGCACCTGACCTGGTGGTGGTGGTGGTGGTGGTGGTGGTGGTGTGGTGGTGGTGGTGGTGGTGGTGGTGTGGTAGTGGTGGTGGTGGTGGTGTCGCGCTTCTTAAGGAAAAAAGCAACTCATACACCGACGCGTGGTTCCGGCCCTACGCTGACACTTGCATTGGACAACGGATCCAAATGTACACGGGATCCCTGGTGTATACATCCTCCGTTGGCCACCCGGGAAACGGATCAAACAAGTACACATCACAGAGGAGGAGGAGGAAGAGGAGGAGGAGGAGGAGGACGACGACGACGACGAGGGGGAGGAGGAGGAGGACGAGGACGAGGATGAGGAATAGGAGGACGAGGATGGAGAGGAGGAGGAGGAGGAGGAGGAGGAGGAGGACGAGGAGGAGGAGGAGGAGGAGGAGGAGGAGGAGGAGGAGGAGGAGCGGGTAATATCGATGTTCCATGTTCCGACTTCTCTCCCCGGGCCTCGGTAGTGCCCGCGCCCAGCCGCGCGATGGCCCGCGTCTCGTAGAAGCTCTGGAGGTCGGAAGAGGGGTGTGGCGTAAAGGGGCATGGTGCCAATCGTGTGGAGATGGCGATGCCGTCTGCGATGCATATAGCGGCGCCAGGTTCCCCCTCCGCATGAGACCAGCACCACACCCCTTTTCTACCGTGCCCCCCCCTTCCCAGCTCCAGAGAAGTGGCCGTCGGGCTCGACGCCGTCCCGGGCCATCCCCTCGAGGAGCGCGTCCACGGCCGCCCCGCAGCCCGACGGGTCGCTGCGGACCACCGCCAGCAGCACTGCCGTGTAGGACACCACGTTGGGCGCCGCGCCCCGCTCCTTCTGCGGGCCGCACGTCTGCCCACAGCCATTGCAGCTTGGAGTCTCGGGCTCCCGCTCCCGAGAAACCCCGGGCGCACTGGGCATGGACAAAAAATCCCGGCCCCCTGGAGGATCGATCTTCATCCACATCCAGTGCGCCCTGGCCTTGTGGCGCCCCTTCCAAGCAAGCCCAAGACGCACTGGGTATGGATACTAGATATCAATCTTGCCCGCTCCTTCATCCTCGCCAGGTTCCGCAGCGCGGCCTCGCTGTCGGGGGCCCGCTGGCACGCCTTCAGCACGGCGTTCCAGTGCTGCACCTGGGGGACCAGGCCACAGGCCGACATCTCCTCCACGCGGGCCACGGCGAGGTCTGGCAGCTTCGCCTCGGCGAGCACGTTCAGCAGCGACACGTAGGACACCGACGTGGGACGGATACCCGCGTCCAGCATCTCCTGCCATGCGCGGGTCGCCGCCTCGACGTCGCCACTCCTGGCGTAGCCGTTCAGGATGGCGGAATACAGCATGGCGTCGGGCCGGATGCTCTCTGCCCTCATCGTCGCGAGGAGCTCCTCCACGCGGCCCACGTCTCCGCGCCGGCTGTTGAGGTTCACCATCGAATTGAAGGACCGCACCCGCAACCTGCAGGACCTGTCCGCCTGCATGCGCCCGAACAGCTCCTCCGCGTCCGCGAGCCGCTCGCACCTGTCCGCGGCGTGCAGGATCGCCTGAGGGACAACGACCCTGACCTTCCAGGAGGGCTAAAAAATAGCACCCGACGTTAAAATCTATCCCAGAGCTATTGTACGTCTTGGTTTTAGGCTGTTTCGTCTCGTGTTTTAGGTTTTTAGGTTTCCAGTGCTAAAACATAGCTCTCTGGAAGGTCAGGGGAAAAGGGGGGGGGGGGGGCTGGCACAGGGAGGGGGGAACATCGACCTGGAAGCGGCGACGCCTCGCCGATCGATCGGCGACAGGCCCCCCCGAGAGCAAAAAGCCGCATGCTCCTGGCCGGGTCGGGCCACCGGGCCCCTCTACCGCGGCGATGGCGGGGCGCCCGGAGGCCGATGCTCTGCCCCCCCTCTGCGCCTGCTCCCCCCCCCCTGCTCCTATGGCGGAATGCACAAGGGGATTCCTCTCTGTGGTTGGATACACGGATTTTCTCTCTGGCGAGGGAGGAGAATGCCCCAACACTCGAACATCTTCATGCTGACGAAGATATGCTTTTAGATGTTGGGCGGCATTCTGCCTTTTGCCATCGTTCGTTCGGCCCGCGGCATTGCGCGGTCTTGCCCTTTGCTCGCCTCCCAGACCGGCGTCACCGGCGCCTCCACCGCGTCGAACGCCCCGCGCGCGGCCTGCCAGTCCCGACGCTGCGCGGCCTCGGCGATCTGGGCCCGCACCTGCGAGACGGGGCTCTCCTTGTGTCAAGTCGGGCGTGTCCCCCTACCGGGGGATTTTGGGCGAAGAATGAAACATACTTAAAGAATACCCCCAAGTGCTCAAAAATAGTGAAAACATCGTCCCCAGACTACTTTTTTCCTATTTTTGAAAATTCCCCCTGTAGAGGGACACGCCCGACTTCATCCTTGTGCCACTTGTCCAGGGTCGCCGTCCCGCGCGGCACGTGCAAGCCCAGGGCCTCCCGGTTCTTCCGCAGCAGCGACCCGAAGGCCGGGCGCTGCCAAGAAGCGTCCTCTCGGGAGCGGCCAAGAGGGGCGTGCCCAAGAGGGGGGGGTGCAAATCATGACCGGCGGCATGTGCGCGGCCCAGCGGGGGGGGCAGGGACGTAATGAAATAAGAAGAGGCGCCGTGAAATCTGGGGAAAAATCATGGCCCCCGCCATGATATCCACCCCCCCTAGTCATCACCCCCCTCTTTGCCGCCCCCGATCCTCGGCCCAGGGTGTCCCCAGGATTTCCGGGGAGGACCGGGTGGTCTCCAGAGCCACCCTCACGAGGCCCAGGCGCCCCCTCTGGAGGTGAGGCGCGGCCAGAGTTATGTCGGGCCTGTCCCCCTACAGGGGGATTTTCGAAGATTTGCTTGTTTTAAATACAAAAAAAAACAAAAACAAAAAAATACTCCAGAGATTGTCTGGGGACTATTTTTTGAATAGTGTTTTACCTTTTTTGGTGTATTTTGGGGGTATGTTTCATTTTTCGTCGAAAATCCCCTGTAGAGGGACAGGCCCAACATAACTCCAGAGCGACCCCAGGCGTCCCCTACTGGAGGTGAGGCGCCGCCAGAGGGGCACAGCGCAGATTCATAAATCTGCGAGGAGCTCCGAGCGTTCATCTTCGCGCAGTCTTTCCGTACTCGAAGCGTGGGGCTCAAGGGCGCCGACCGACACTGGATCGACGCTAATCGACGCTGAAGTGGCGCTTTATCATAACCAAGCACTTGAGCACGCTAGTGCATTCTGAAATGGATCTACAAGGCTCCTACGATTTGATTTTGAAGTTATGCGAAGATCCCAACCCCCGACGTCATGTTTTTTCTCATGACGACGTGGGCCCCCGGAGGTCTCGACCCATTGCACGGGATCGGCTTTTCAGCCTGAGCAGTCTGTTGACAGTCCCGTTGCCTGGCGAGGGCCCCCAGCGGCCGACACATGCCATCCCCCCCGTCGTGTTTTTTTGATGACACGAGGGGGTCTGGAATCTCTTGGTGTGACCAGCCAAGTCCCTGCAAATGGGGCGTTAGTAAACAGAGCTGTAGCTAACTGGCCTCTTCAAGCGAGAACGGGGTGACTTGGCAGTTACCTCGCGAAAGTGCGTGATACATCGGGACGACACAGACGTCGATACATCATCATCACTCTGCGCGGGTTTTTTTCGGGGGGGCACCTCGCACTCGCGCGCAGCAACTCACCTCGATGAAAACTCCATTGAAAACGACCCCTCAGCGACACCCGCCCGTTTACTAACGCCCCGCTTGCAGGTTGGGCGCCCGTTTTATCCAGGGTAACTCGGGTCCGGGCAAAAAAACGAGTTAGCCCTGACCCGAGTTACGGCCCAGGGAAGCTCGGCTTCGGAATCCCGAAAAACGAAACCGAGTTAGCCCTGACCCGAGTTACCCCTGATGATTCGGGGCTCTGAGCAGGGGCGTGGGCCAGAGGGCCACTTCTGGCGCCGCCCGTGCAGGAGCGAGCCGGCGCCGGCGCCGGCGCGCGGCCTCGAAGTTACCAGCCTGGAACATATCCCTATCCCTGTGCCGGGCACCTCCCCACCACGATGCCAATCTTAGGGATTCCCTTGCGAGTCCCTAAGATTGTCATCGGCCTGTGGCGTGTCAATCTCAGGGATAGGGATACGTTCGAGGCTGGTAACGAAGGCCCCCGGGCGGCGCGAGGGCGAGGCGGCGCGCCGCGCCGGCGGCGCGGAGGGCACTGGCCAGGGCCGCCATGGTGGCCGCCCGAGAGGCTCTGGAGGTCGGAGAAGGGGTGTGGCATAAATTACCCTCGAACGTATCCCTACCCCTAAGATTGACACGCGAAAGGGCGATGACAATCTTAGGGGTTCGCCCTCAAAAACTAAGGGGATCCCTAAGATTGGCATCGTGATGAGGAGGTGCCCAGCATAGGGATAGGGATATGTTCCAGGCTGGTACATAAAAGGGTGTGGCGCCAATCGTGGGAATCGAGATGCTGTCTCCGATAATGCGGGATGACGATGAATAAAAAGAATGGGGGAGAACGATTAAAAAAACATGGTTTCATTCTACTTCTGCACAAATTTCCGTCTGGAGGAGAACGATAAAAAAATAGTTTTCCAGCCCGCGGCCGGTTTTTTCTAATCGTCATCCCGGGCGCCGCCGCGTGAACACGACCCCCGGTCATTTATTAATCGTCATCCTCCATTACGATAGGTGGCATCGCCAGACTCAACATTGGCACCACACCCCTTCATGCCACACCCCTTTCCTGCCTCCAGAGGCCCGGCCCGGCCGCAGCGGCGGGCGGCCTATCCGCGCGCGGCCTGTGCGGCCAGCGGCGGCGGCCGAGCGGCGCGCATGCCAGAAACAATATTAGTGTTTGATTTGTTTCGACGATAGCCCAGGTTATCGGAGGGGGGAGGTGCCAGCCGACAACCTACAGAAGGGGCTCGACCACAAGAGACCTGCCACAAGAACCTCCCCCCCAAGAACCCAGGGCGTCCAGCGATTTTTGGTGTGGGACTGTCACGCTGTCCATCGCAGAGCGATCGAAATCCAAGAGACCCAGGGCACCCTGGAGGCAAGCAGGGCGTTTCCTGGCATGAGTCTCCACTGCAACATTTTCCTCGCTGTGGGCAAACCCGCTGAGCGCACCGGTAAAGCACTCGGCCTCCTGGTGGTGCTGACGATGCTTCGACAATGTCACCAGTGGTGCTGCGACGATGCTGGCGCCACATGGAAATGGCTAACCGCATGCCGATGATAGTAAAGGACCCCCCCTTTTCACGCTAGAGTTGATTATCCACGGCCAAGAAGAGTTTGGTCAGGGGCGCGGGGCGCGGAGGCCGAACTTTTTTTATCACTGTGAAAACTTCACCATCGAGGTTCGCTTCCTTCTGATGTTGAGATAGCAACATCAAGCGAAGCGAAGACATTTTCGAGGATGTCTCAAGCGAAACCCACAATTGCTGGAGGCAGCCTGAAGCGAAACGATCAACGTTTCAAGGATGTCTCAAGCGGAACCAACAATTCTTCGAGGATGCCTCAAGCGAAGCGAGAGACTGGTCGATGAGAGACCTCCTCCTCCTCCTCCTCTCTCGCATTATTTGTGTTCCTCTCTCTCTCTCTCTATCTCTCTCTCTCTCTCTTTGTCTCTGTCTCTCTCTCTCTCTCTCTTTCTGTCTTTCTCCATCTCCCCGTGGCCCACTGAACTGTTTTATCGCTGTGGTTTACTATCCACGGAACCCGAGGCACATGAGGCACCTTACACGAGCAGATGAAAATCTGAAATGCCATTGTTTGTTTACAAATTAAATGTAATAGGTTTGAAACTTTGGCGTTCCTCCTCCTCCTCCTCCTCCTCCTCCTCCTCTCTCTCTCTCTCTCTCCTTCTGTCTGTCTATCTTTCTCTACTTCTCTCTCTCTCTCTGTCGAACTATATGTCGCTGTCTCTATCTGTCTTCCTCGTTCTTCCCCTGGCACCCTGCACCTTTTTTATCGCTGTGGTTTACTATCCACGAAAATCGAGGCACGTGAGCTGCCCTACACGAGCAGATGCAAATCTTAATTTCCATTGTGTGTGTTACAACTTAAATTTAATAGGTTTGGAACTTTGGCGTTTCTCCTCCTCCTCCTCCTCCTCCTCCTCCTCCTCCTCTCTCCTTCTGTCTGTCTATATTTCTCTACTTCTCTCTCTCTCTCTAACTATCTGTATCTTTCTGTCTCTGTCTCTCTCTGTCTTCCTCCTTCTCCCCCTTGCACCCTGGACCTCGATCCTCGATCTTCGATTTTCGACCCTCGGACCTCGATCCTCGGACCTCGCCGCCGTCGATCCTCGGACCTCGATCCTCGACTCTGGGATCTCGATCCTCGATCCTCGGACTTCGATTCTCGATCCTCGATCCTCGGCTCTCGGTCCTCTTAACATCATCTCTTTCTCCTCCCACATGCTGGCCTCCGGTAGGCAACATTTATCCCCCCGCGACCCCGCACTTTATTATCCCTGTGGGATTATTCTCCGTGGTACATGGTTAGGAATAGGTGCGGACAGCTAGCATTAGCAAATAGGTAAGGATATGATAGGGACCCCCCGGCGCAGCGTATGGGATTGCCGAACCCCCTCCAAGATGCCCCTGAATAGCTCCTTGAGAGTCTCTGCCAACCACGTGGCCTGCCAGTGAATGCTTTGCGTGCCAGACTTGAAAACCCGACGGCCTTCTGTGGGCGATGCTGCGGTTCAGGAGAAGGCCCAAACATCCGACGTCGCGATCTGCTCGCAACGTGGCGCCCCAGTGGTCTGGACCCGTTCCCGGGGACCAGCGCTTGACCCTGAACCGTCCTCGTTCACGGTCCCTCGCACGGGGACTGGCACTGGCCCCCAGAAGTCTCAAGCCGAACTTTTGGGGAGCACCATCTCATGCTTTTCGCTCAGCGCGAGGATGTCCGGGTAGGAGAGGGACGGGCAACGCTACGTAGCAGCACGCCCACATCGACCCTGGCGAGGCCAGTGCACACGCCTTCCAGGTGGGGCCAGGCAGGCGCACGAACCGTCCTTGGGCCAAGGATCGTCCTGCCGAGCCTCGGCGCTGGTGCACAGCTGGAGCTTCGCGAACTCAAAGCAGGCTGAACCAAATAAAGCAGAGGTCTGAGGTTTTTCTCAATGAGAGAAATCAATAACGGCAAAGCCACTCCCTTTTGGATGTCCGCGCGGGCTTCTCCAATGGCGCCAGAGGCGATACCAGGTGGTGTCAGCGCCGATCCAAGAGATCATCGCGTACCTCTGACTGATCGTGTCTATGCAACTGTTTATCTTGATGCTCCTTGGAATCACAAAATAAGTCAAATTGCCGCAAGGAAAGTGCAGTGGACATGCGAAGCTGGCCTTTGCAGACCAATGATGTAGTCGTCAGGAAAGTGCAGGCATCAATGCACAGATGTCAAGACAGTGCGAACATCTCTTTCAAAGCATCGCAACCTCCGTGAGATCATCTAATCCCAGCAATCCTCTGACATACTACCCAACATGAAAAGGGGGTTGACGTTCAAATTCGAGTACCTAGTGCCCCATAAGGTGCGTCCGTGGGCAGCTTTCAATCCTAGAATCCCAAACTGCATCCATCCCGTGCGCACCGTGAGCGTGGAAACGGAGACCGTCGATGCCTTTCGCCTTCACCCATGACCCTGTGATGTGCAAGTCTTGGGAATCCATGTCTGCACATGTCCCACCCATCTTACGTGCTTCAACCTCGACGTGCGCGCGCCTTCCGCAGGAAGATCACGGGGACCACGACCGAGACTGAACGTGGAAACGTCGTATCGATCTTTAACGAACAACACACATTCTCAAACCTACAGGGAGGAGGCATGAGGAATGACAAGGCGATGAACGCACTAATGAGTATGGGTGCGAAGTGTCGGACCCCGAGGGGGGTCCCGTTCGACCAGGGACCCCCATCCGACAATGTATAGGTATGGGTGTTAGCTGTCGACTCGTGATTGGTCACCGTCCATCAATTGGTCAGCGTCAACTCATGGATCATCCCCCCGAATCGGCGACGGCTGGCATGGACCATGGCAAAGATCGGCGCCGACGAGATCCCGTGACACCTCTCGGCGGCGAGCGAGGAGGAGAAGTGAGAAGGAGAAGGCCTTCTCAGAAGGCGGCGGGACTTCTCAGACACTTTTGCACATTCTGACAGGTGTTCTGTGTCTCGGGGGAGGCTTCGGAAACTTATCAGAAGGCCAGGGGACTTCCCAGCCTGCTGAGCATGCCCGCCCACTTTCACTTCCCCCTGGGCTCGCCGCCGGATCTCGGTCATGGTCGGCGTTTCTGCCCTTTCCAGACATCTGGCTGCTCCAACTCCCCGGGGCCAGCCCTTCCCCCTGAACCGTCTTTGGCGCCCCCGAGGCCCGGCGAGGGCCCCTGGAGGCCGAAAACAGTCCAAGACCGCCCGCTTCAACTTTTGTTGGAGCGTCGGGTCTCTGGGCCCCTCGGCGACAGATGCTTCTCTCGGCCGGCCAGCCCTGGGGTAGTGAGAAGGGGCGGGCGCTCTCTGAAGGGTCGGAAGTCCTCTGGCCTGCTGGCACGATGTCTATAGACCTTCTCCGCGGACACCGAAAGCCTCTCCCGACGGCCGGAGGCCGTCTGAGAGGTCCCGCCGCCCGCTGAGAAGGCCTTCTCCCTCTCCCTTCCCCTCCCTGTCCGCCGCCGACTCCCCAGACCCTATAGCGTCGACCCTCAGAGGTCTCGACCCGTTCCCCTGGACCGGTTTCTGGTCCCGGCTCGCTCTCTGACGGTCCCGGGGGCAGAGACATAGAGGCCTCCAGAGGCCGCAAACATACGAGAGCACCCCCCGCCGTGCTTTTC